AATTCGTATCGCCGCGCCATATTCTAGCGATAGCTAGCCGCTGAGCGCGCTGCCGCATCTGATCTGACGAAGTCAACATGGTCAATGATGTAGGCGGCGCGCGTGATTGCAACGCATTTGTTCCTATGACAACTCATGAAAGTGGCAAACTTTTGCGAGGAATGATTTATGACTGTCAACAAGAGTACCGTATTTTCCGGGGTATAAGCCGCACCGGGGTACAAGCCGCACCCCCCTTTTTGAGGCAAAATATTGACTAAAAGTTGGTATTCGGAGTATAAGCCGCACCCACAAACCAAGATTTTTCACACTCATTGACAAATGGCCTTTCTACAAATTTATTATGGTTATGGAGCTAAATACCATGTTAGATCAGATTATGAAGTGTTAGTGCACCACAGGTTGCTGCAGAGATGTTGGTGTATTGCTGTGTTGACTACAGATCACTCCAATTCATCAGCACTATCTTCAGTCTCCCTGCCACTGATGCACTAAAACTAGTAAAAGTGCCGGGATAGCAACACAGGCGCGAAGCTGAGTCGAATGACATGTCACATGACGTCAGCATGCATACTGATGTATGCTTAGCATCAGGGAGTCGTCAAATACCATTTGACGACTCCCTGCTTAGCATTCATTCGCGCAAGCATATTCGGTGCATAAGCCGCAGGGGCGATTTTGGTCCGATTTTTAGCGAAAAAAAGTGCGGCTTATACCCCGGAAAATACGGTACATAACTACACACGTGTGTATAGTTATGTACTCTTGCTGTCAAGCAGAACGCGTAAACGGGCCGGGATTTCCCCGTTCAGAATCAGAACACGTGAAGACTTTTCCCTGTTTTGATTTTGAATGTCGTCTTTTTTTTGTTCGTCTCTCTGATCTGCTCAGTTCAAAATGTTCTCGTTGTTCAGGTCTGGATCATTCTGCAGAGTCCTGTGTAGATCTTCTTCAGCTGGACAATTTCGTGGGCCTGCAGTCGGCAGTACTGGTGTTGCGTTGGTGAGACAACTCAGCGCCGCAGTCAGGATGGATTTCGAGAGCGGACAGCGCGAGATGACGACTACGGATGGTGTACGGATTGTCTATTACGATCTTGGCGAGGCCAAGGCCGAGGAAACGATTATTCTGGTTCCTGGCGCTCTGGGCTTCTCCCAGTCTGACTACGAGCCACAAATAACCGAGCTGAGTAAGGATTTCCGTGTCCTGGCCATGGATCCGCGCGGACAGGGGAAGTCAAGACCGCCGGAGCGAGATTTCCCCCAGGATTTCTTGCGTCGTGAAGCCAGCGATGCTGCCCAGGTGGTGGAGGCGGCGGGTGCGGCCGCGGGCAAGGTGAACGTACTGGGCTGGAGCGACGGCGCGAACATCGGCGCGATTATGGCGGCGCAGCGGCCCGACCTGGTCAAGCGTCTGGTGATGTGGGGCGGCAATGCCTACATTACCCAGGAGGACGTCGACCTGTACAACGCTGCGGCGGACACGTCCACATGGAGTCCTCGCATGGCCGAGCCGTTCGTCAAGGTCTACGGTGCCGACGGGCTGCAGAAGATGTGGACCGACTGGCTGAAGGCGATGCAGGAACTGCTGGATGCCGGTGGTGATATCTGCCGGGAAGATGCCAAAAAGGTACAGTGAATCCTGTCATTAACAACCCCGGCTATAACACGACTAACCCCGGCTATAACACGACTAACCCCGGCTATAACAACGACTAACCCCGGCTATAACACGGCTAACCCCGGCTATAACACGACTATCCCCGGCTATAACACGACTAACCCCGGCTATAACAACGACTAACCCCGGCTATAACACGGCTAACCCCGGCTATAACATGACTAACCCCGGCTATAACAACGACTTACCCCGGCTATAACACGACTAACCCCGGCTATAACACGACTAACCCCGGCTATAACAACGACTAACCCCGGCTATAACAACGACTAACCCCGGCTATAACACGACTAACCACGGCTATAACACGACTAACCCCGGCTATAACAACGACTAACCCCGGCTATAACACGACTAACCCCAGCTATAACACGACTAACCCCAGCTATAACACGACTCATGAATAACGACACAGTATTCACACCCAGTGACCATTTCAATGCGTACGTTCAACCTCGCGAAGGACGGCAATGTTTTCATGCTCTACCGAGGGTCGTTATTGGCAAGGTTGACTGTACTGCAAAGATATTCTGAATCTCTCTTTGTTTCTCTCTCTCTCTCTCTCTCTCTCTCTCTCTCTCTCTCTCTCTCTCTCTCTCTCTCTCTCTCTCTCTCTCTCTCTCTCTCTCTCTCTCTCTCTCTCTCTCTCTCTCTCTTCTGTTCCTTTTATCAGTGTGTCTGTGTTGATGTGTCTGTCTGTCTGCCTGTGCGTGTATATGTGTGTGGTTGTGTGGGTATGTGTGGTGTGTCTGGCTCTGTGTGTGTGTGTGGGGGGGGGGGGGGGGGGGGGTATGTGTGGTGTGTCTGGCTCTGTGTGTGTGTGTATGTGTGTGTGCGTGCGTGCGTGCGTGTGTGTGTGTGTGTATCTACCTGTATGTGCATCATGATTAAGGTAACGTGTCCAACATTGCTCCTGCATGGTGACAAGGATGGATTTGTGCCGGGTTTCCACGCTGAGTTCTATCGTAAGACCATTCCAGCACCTCTGCAGTACAAGAACTTCCCAGATGGTAAGTTGATCAACTAGAGATCATAGAAAAGAGAAAGGACCAAGGAACTACAAGTTACGCTATACTGTCCACTAACACCACCAGTTAGTAAACAATCAGCTCATGCGATAACATTACACTTGTAGTTCCTTGGTCCTTTCTCTTTTGTATAAATTAAACCTTGGCTCTCCATCCGAGTCCAAACTAGAGATCGACTAGAGAAATCTCTCTCTCTCTATCTCTCTCTCTCTATCTCTCTCTCTCTCTCTCTCTCTCTCTCTCTCTCTCTCTCTCTCTCTCTCTCTCTCTCTCTCTCTCTCTCTCTCCTCTCTATTTCTCTGTTTTCACTCTTTCTCTGTTTTCACGTTGTCTCTGTTTTCACGCTGTCTCTGCAGGCAAGCACAACATTCACCTGCGCTATGCACAGGAGTTCAACGAGATTGTACGCCGCTTCCTGCGCGGAGAGGTGGTCGGCGAGACGTCACACTAGACACACACACACACGTCCTGGTCTGCAGTCCATGTAACTTACTAGCATCCAGTGTACGATTGTGTTGACGCGTGGACAACTGCAGCCTGAACAATGTTGTGTGAGTACGATGCCTGCCTACTGTCATACCACCTAGAAGCACAAACGTGCTCTAAACTCTACTCTAGGGTATCCACATGTCGAGGCGCTTTTCATAATCGTCTGAGTACTGCAGCTTCGTCGTTTCTCGGTTATCTGTATTCCACGTCCTGGAATTCTGTCTTAGCTACGTTTATAGCCGCGATCTAGCTAGTAATCTCTCTTGTTTGCTTCGTTCCGCTCGCTGCATGTGTATGTGCGGTGAGCTTGCAAACCCATCAGTGGCAGCCACTTTTGATCAGGGCTGATTCTGGGTACCGATTCAGCTCAATAGGTATACAGTAGTTGCGCAGCACGGCATGTTCGGATTGTGCCTTGCTGTTGCAAGCATCGGTTTACCTGCTCTCTGTGCTGGTGTTAAGCTGGCGGTCCAGAGGTCGCCTTGTGAGCAGCGCCTGCAAACTGCGGCTTGATTCCGGCGTGCCAACTTTCACCTGGCTGCACTGTGCCTGCCTGTCGTGTTGTTTGCTGCCGCCAGCTTACTCCAGAGTATGTTTATCTTGTCTGCTCCCACTACTGGGCGTTCTCTGTTTAGATCCACTGCTGTAGTGTGGTGCGTCGCACTGGTGCAGCGTAGTGCTGCGCTGGTACAGCCTTGCATTGCACTGCTGTAGCATTGTGCCCCATTGCTGTAGCGATGTGTTGCACTTCTGTAGCGTCGTGTTGCGTTGTTGTAGCGATGCGTTGCACTGCTGTAGCGATGTGTTGCACTGCTGTAGTGATGTGTAGCATTTGCTGCAGCGATGTGTTGCATTGCTGTAGCGATGTGTAGCACTGCTGTAGCGTTGTGTTGCGTTGTTGTAGCGCTGTGTCCCATTGCTGTGCATTTTGTCGTGTAGTTGTCAATAATTATTATCTGTGAAAGTGTTCCCAATGTCAAAAATCATGGCCACCACTTTCATTTTCTTCCGTCACTTCTATATTTCAGTGACCCGTTTAGTTGCTAGCAAATTTTTAACCTCTTCTAACAAATTTATCACTTCAATTTGGCCCTCGTTTCATCACGTTTATTCTTGACTATTCCTATATCTCACTTCCGAAGTTTCTTTGTGCTTCACTTGTTTCTTTCTTCCATCAGATTTCTGATATGCATGCCCTGGGAGAGTGTGTTATGTGCAGTGCTGCTGAGCCCGAATATATTTGGAATTCAGAATGACGTCAGGGCGCTGAGCCCGAATATATTCCGGCTGATAAGCTATCGTACTGGACTTTCTTCCATGTTTCAGCGTAGGGCTGAAAGAGACCCCGGAGTCTCTAGACACATCATAGGCAGCGTATGTACTCGTGGGCATCGCGCGCCGCGAACTTCGCCGTGCTCGAATCGCTCTTGCACGTGATTTGAATTTTTTTGCCGAAAATGTATGCAGAGGATGGGTGCATGCATAGCCCCTATGGCCTGTAGCGCTAAATGGGTTAAATGTCTGACATTTCGGAGAATGTGCTGATCAGTGCCAGTACGGTCAGGTGCCGAAGAACTGGGGTTCAGAGTCGTAGCCTAGGCCATCCTTCTTCTTCTTCTTTGTGTAGAACTGTCTCTAAATGGCTGAGCCACCATGTACATAGGGGCTCAGTCTAGATCATAAAGTGATGTTGCGCAGAACTTGACGACCTTTACACGCTCATCTAAATCTTGTCCTCGCCGGTGAGATAAGAAATTCAGTGTCGAAGCCAAAGGTCATGCAATTGCTGGCGAAGGTAAGAGCAGATTTTCCGTTAAAGTATTTGCATGCGCATGCGCAACAGAGTCTGGCCCATCAGTAAGCGTAACACATTCACACCTGTCCTATCCTGTCCTGAACATTGCTGTAAGACGGTCACATGTCCCCTCATACGAACACATTCACACCTGTCCTGAACATTGCTGTAAGACGGTCACATGTCCCCTCATACGAGGTGCCGACAGACACGGGTAGTTCGGTTGAGTACGGTACGCAGCACGCTCCGCAGGCTAGCGGCCAACGAGAGTCACACCCGCTGACGTGCACACTCATGTTCACACACACACACACACACACACACACACACACACACACACACACACACACACACACACACACACACACACACACACATGCACACACGTTAACACATACACAAGCACACACACACACACGCGCGCGCGGGTGTGCGCGCATATGCACACCCCAGCATTGTTCAATGCTGGCCACTGTGGTGATGGTCGTATTGTATAGATGTGTTTCAATGTGCTTGCAAAACATCATGTAGAATTTGATCATTACAGTCAGGGAGTTGATATTGGTAAGGCATTACGAATGGACATGCATGATGCCAAGAAATACAGTCACGAATCAATGTCCATTACATTTTCTCAAACGCATGAATATGCTGTGTCGCAACGTGTATCATACTTCTATGTGCGTACCGGAGCGTACGAGATATACAGTTATCGGTTTTGAACAAGTGGGGGCTCAAGCAGTTAGCGGCAGTATGCACCAGGGTTGGTAAACGAATAAGAAAATTACATAAATCTGAGTCTGGAGGGGGCTCCTTTGCTTTTATAAAGCTCTCGAATAATAGCTGCTCAAGCGAACTAAAGGTCAAATTTATTCGTAGTCAGTTAGAGATGGATACGGATATGTTATTCTGAACGTGATAAGAGCTGTTGCATTTATTGTACCATTACAAGATTACGTTTTTATGGCAGTACATGCATGTCGTCATAATTATTCTAATAAGTAAATTTATTTTTTAGCTTCATTGGGTGTAGCTAAATCTGTTCTCGCAATGAGCATGTCTTTAGGGAATATTCATTGGTTGAGGGATTGTAATCTTTAGGGAATGCGAGTGGATTCAAGGCAAGATCTGAATCACTCCGTTCGCTGTTCGTTGAAGACTGCTCGGAAGTCATTGAGACGGTGCGGCGGTACACGGAAAGTACTGCACGGGAGGGGATGCTTGTGGCATGCAACACAAAAAAAAGAGGAAGTATTTGCTAGGGGTAAAAATCATGATGCAGCGGCAGTTGCAGTGGAGTCGGGCGCCCGGAAACTTGCCAGCGCGCTCTCATTGGCGTTGGAGACGGATATGGTGCAGGTGCTGACGCGAGGGGCACTGCATGCAGTCGACGTGGTGGTGACGCAGTACGGACGGTGGTGGTCACGCGCACTGCCGCCCTCTCCCCCAAACTTGAACGGCTTTGGTGCCGTCCTGGGCGGTTGTGATGACGAAGACGAGGACGCCGAGACTGCTGACGACGTCGGCGCTGGGCTGCCTCCTCCGATGGCGGCCATGCTGGACTTTGAGCGTCGCAGCGAGTCGTGATTGAACACGCTCTCGCCGTAGATGGTGCTGAGGAAGATGTTCTTGTGCTCGGGCGAGGCGATGCTACCGGCCAAGGGATGATTGGGACTGCCCGGGCGTATGGCGCTGAATTCTGTAATAGGGAGAGCAAAGCACAGGGTGTGTATGAGTGTGGTTCACATGCATTAGCCCATTATCATGAAGACCGAATTCTAAAATAGGGAGAACATAGCATGCAGCGTGTATGAGTGGTTCAGATTAGCCAAGTACTAGCATATAAAGCCCGAATTCTATAATAGGAGGAACTTAGCACAGCGTGTGCGTGTGTGGTTCACCATACCTCATCATCAAGACAAGGGCACTGAACAGTCTGTCTATTCTTTGACGGCTATATGCCACTACAATCAGTTGGGGAGGGGGAGGGGGGGGGGGGGGGGTACCAACAAAACGCATCAGGTGCTTACTAAATATTCCTGCTCCCCACCGGACATGCAATCATCATACCGCACACTGGAAGAAGCCACTTAGCTATACATGTATTGCCTGCTCCAAAAAATTGCATGTGTGCAACCCACCCAATGTGGTCATACTTTTCCCTACCATGTCCACCTATACAGTAGATGTACTCGCATAACATCAGATGCCGTGTGATAACGCTCGCTTACCGACTGCATGAACGCATGATCTCCCCGAGGGAGCACGTCTCAGCTCAATGCTCGGACCTTCACGTCCGTCGCCCGGCGGCACGGAGAGCGTTTGGTTTCGCGAGTGCCCCGGCGAGCCGACACCGGAGAAGCTGGAGACGCGCCGTGTGCCGCCGTAGTGCACCGGACTGGACATGGCACTCAGCGAACTGTAGGTCACATCGGCACCGACACCACTGCTCGAGCCGGCCGCCATTGTCGTGACGATCGTCGTGCCAACACCACCACCACCACCACCACCGGCACCGCACGCAAGGCTGCGGGCTGACGGTTCGTGATTGTCCGCGTGCGCCGAGAAGTGAAGCATTGGTACAGCATTGGCGTCGTGCGCTATCCACGTGGCCGGGCGCGAGATCACGCTGCCTGATCCGCCGCCCAGACTGCCCGAGTCCGCCTTCTGCCTGCGGAAGCATGCCGACGAATCGCGACCACCGCTGGGGTGCATGCTTGATGACGTCATGATGACATCACCCACACTTCGCTTCCTGACCAGTGCAGCATTGCCGTGCTGTGCTGACGTGGGATAGCCGCGGCTGCGCTGCCTGCACAGGTAGACGATGACCAGGATCATCACCACGACGACCAGGATGAGAACGATGCCGGCGGACGGTACGACTACGGATGCCACGTGACCCTTTGTCCAGAAGCTACCGCCGCCATTGCTACTGCCACTGGCACCTCTTGGATCGGGTCCAGTGTCATCACTGCTATTATCGCCATCAGGTTCTATAGACAAACGGACATGGAATGCACACACACACATGCATTTGTGCGCACATACACGCACACACACACACACACACACACACGCACACACACGCGCACACACACACAGACAGACACACACACACACGTATACGCACATGACAGCCGTCAAGCCTTACTCTGCGAGTCTGCAGACAGCAGTGTTCAGAACGTGTCGACTCATCAACTTCATCCAGAAAACCAAAGGAAAACTTGAAAAAATCTGACAATCTCAAATCTTTGAGTCAACCAAAACTTGGGAGAAAATAAGCTTCACTGCTTAGCTAAGCAATCGACTGATTAACTTAAACTCCTTTTTTAGACAACTTACTCTCGGTTTTGAACGCGAGCTGCAAGCTTGGAATGCCAGGACGTCCATGGACATTTGGGCCAAATATCTGCGGAGAACAGAAGGGAAGAGAAGATTGGTCTGGGACGATGTTGGGCCGGCAAATTATTGAGTAAAGCACAAACAGATGTTAACACCCTGCAAGTAATCCAGACTAGATTTCTTGCATATTGCTGTCACGGGATTGTCACAACATTGGTTGTCTGTTCAAGAAAATGCATACTAGTAGTCGATTCCATTTTCATCTTTACATGAGTAGCAAAAAGGACGACAAGCACGTGGACTGAAAAATGCATGATGAATTGAAAGAAATCATGAGTGTCAATATCCAACCGTCCACAACAGTTGGATTGGCCAAATGTTTCCGGACTGGACGCATACAAGCAGTGGTCGGTACGTACCACGACTGCATACAGGCGGCCAGCCGTCAGACCATTGATGTCAGTGGAATAGGTATCCTGCACACGAACAGCCGACAGATCAAAAGTGCATGTTAGCTGTGTCATAGAAGAGTGACGATAAAAAAAAACGGAGACCCTTTTGAATCTTTCTTTGGAGTATGAGTTGAATATGCTCGCCTGTTATCAAAGTGTGTTTATCCATTATCCAAATAATTATGTTTATCCATCGATACAACGTTATCATGGTTTTACCATTGACAGAAGCTCGGTAGATTGCCTCTCGTTTACATGCACAGATCCATGCTAAACTATAAGCAATATGTCGTGTGTTGTGTCTGCTGTGATATCAGCGCACCAAATGACAGTACACAAACTCACACGTCAACTATCTGCGGGTACTTCAGTCTATCCGTTGGGGGAGTGTTAGAGGAACAATTACTCTGTTTTCATTTCGTGGTGATACTGAGTGACGCATCATCAGCGGCCATATCTCTGGCCTTTCCCCATCGGAACGCGTATGTGATGCAGAGTTATGGACATTCGAAGGTTACGGGTAGTGCCACTCGGATAAACGAGGTATGGGTGCAGTGGAGGTATTTGGCCACCGATTAGCGGTACGTAGATTAAACATTCGAACATGCCGCGTGACTTTCCAATACATACCGAGTCATGTAGCTCTATGCTGCGTATTCCGGAAAAGGACGTCTTCTTCTGCACGTATTCGCGGAGGAGGTTCCAGTCGGAGAGGAAGGCGAGAAAAGATGCCGGTTGCAGTGCACCGCTGTCGTCGGTACTCCTCTGCTGAGCTTGCCCAATGATGCGGCTCTGGATCGCCTTGGAGTCGGTCTCCTCTTCCTGGTTGTCCAGCTGCTGGTCAATCTCGGTGGCCAGCAGGGAGTCGTGTGGCACCTCCAGCCATGCAAAGTAGAGCCGGCCGCCCTGCTGCTTCACGCTCCGTACCGGATTGAACTTCCACGCCACGACCGCGTTGCTCCTGTTCAGCGAGAGCAGCTGCAGATTGGAGGGCTGCAGCTCTGCATACGGGCAACAGACAGAGAACACATTACTATGCTTGGACAAACACACATGTCAAGGAGAATTTCCTATAAGTCAGGGCTGCCTGACACCGCGGCTTTCCTAAGATGTCATAGCAGATTCCGTTACCAATCGCAGTGCGTCAAACAAGGTCACGTTCAGATATCAAAGAGTATCCAGGAGTAAAGTGGCTGGGCATATAGTGTCTTCTATGTCTGATTTTCAGTAGTTCCTGGCTATGAATGTATGCACGGTGCCCGCTGAAAGTTCTTGCTGCGGAGAATCTGAACGGTGTAAAGTTACTACGAAGTAACTGAAACTTACTTGGTGTTGTGAAGACCAGTGACGACGAAAAGGTGAAAAAGCTGTTTGACACCATTGTAGCAATCTGAAAACACAGAGTATAGCACAAAGGGATGGTTTGTGACGGTGTGTATCACCTCCACTTCCAATTCCACTTGCCCATCGCTGAAGCAATGATGGAGAATGAACTATGCTAGACACAGCAACTTGTTGTTGAGTTTTTTTTTAGTCGCAACACAAACAGGCGATGGTGCCTCCTTATACACATATGAGAGACTTGTGCTGGGATTACACCATTCAACAGCTTGCAAGGCTGATGAATTGGCCGCCACTAACTTTGGCCTGGTCTACACTACACAGTTGACTGAAGTGACTTCTCCTGGCCAGTGAGTCCCCTAGTATGTATCACAGTGGATACAATTCAAATGTTTTGCAGACTAAGTCTTGTGTGGGCTGTGACTGGAGCCTCAGCCAGTGCTGTGTACGCTGTTCATATCATTATATCATTGCACTGCTGCTCCTGCTGCTCCTGGTGCACAGGAGTCCAGGTTAGCGATGTTAGGTTTTACTGGGGTGTGTCATACAAAGAACTGTCCCGAAAAACTGCATGCATCCATTGCAAGGAGCAAATGAGCAAAAATGTGCACAAGAACAGAAAGAGAGAGAGAGAGAGAGAGAGAGAGAGAGAGAGAGAGAGAGAGAGAGAGAGAGAGAGAGAGAGAGAAGAGAGAGAGAGAGAACGCGAGAGAAAGTGAGAAAGCAAAAATGAGAGACAGACACAAACCTAGATAGAGAGATGTGATTCCTACCTCGAGCTCGTAAATTGTTCCAGGCTTCAGGCGGACAAGTTTCTTTGTATACATTGCATCATATTGGTAGATCTGAGGAGTAAAAAGCAGATTTAGCAGTATACTTCTGATGATCAAAAATTACTGGCTGCATGGACGGATGCCACTCAGTTACTGGACTGATCTCTGATCTCGGCCCAGTTGAACCAGAACACGCCGACATGACTCAACGGTCTAAATGAATGCATTTGCAGTTGTATTGCCAACGATCCGAGTGCAATCCTATGCACCTTTTTCACACACGGCGGTGAAGCCTATCCCATATTGAATATGTTGCCGTCTAGATTCGGAGTAACAACAAACCGACAAGGCACGCTGTTTTTGATACCTGCTTCTAGGCAGTTATCTACAGTAGCTTCCGGAGCATAAGCTGCACTTTCAACAATAGTAATTCAAATCAAAAATGACGGTATGGCTTATACAGTAAAATAATGCCTGTAACTAAAGACCACCGTGACTAGCGACCAGCCTGGTACTACAGACCACTTCGCCACGCACAGACGGTCTCACATTCATGTATGGCTGTGCGGTGCAAACCTCTAACTAAGGACCACCTGGCACTAAAGACCGCTTTCTCTGGCCCCAAGGGGTGGTTGTTAGTCACAGGTTATACTGTACTGTGATGGTCAAATAATAATAATAATAATAATAATAATAATAATAATAATAATAATAATAATAATAATAATAATAATAATAATAATAATGTGGAAGAGAAAAAGACATATGGATACGAGTTAAGAGTAACTCTCCATCACTGTAACATGATACTATATACAGTCAGAAAGTGCAATAACTAGGCACAAAACTGACAGAGTACTGAAACATTCGACGTCCTGACACCTAGCTTCAACACATCTCCGTAGCGCTAACCGACAGCCTTCCAACTTGGAAGGTTCAAGGTTATGGAAAAAAAGACCAAAGAGGGGAAGGCAAGCGCAACGAAAACGAGCAAAAGCTACAGTCCCAACGGAACAAAGAATGTCGATTGTTACTGGACGATGACGAGACCAGTACGATATTTGACAAAGCGGTCTAACTACAATTCGAAGCAGCAAAGCAGCACACCACCCAACTTGGGTGGGTCATAAATATCAAAGATAAGTAAAGAAAGGGAAGCTTTGCGAAAACGAATTGTACAAGCCGAAAGCCAAACTCCTACAGTACTCCTCATGCATGACATTGTGATGGACTAGTTGACTACAAAACAAGTTGTTTCACACGACGTACGTTTCGCCGTATGGTTCGTGACGGCTCATCAGGTGTGCAATTTGAAACTCGGATGTTGAGCCATAAATAAATGTGGAATGTGTACGTCGTGTGAAACAACTTGTTTTGTAGTCAACTAGTCCATCACAATGTCATGCATGAGGAGTACTGTAGGAGTTTGGCTTTCGGCTTGTACAATTCGTTTTCGCAAAGCTTCCCTTTCTTTACTTATCTTTGATATTTATGACCCACCCAAGTTGGGTGGTGTGCTGCTTTGCTGCTTCGAATTGTAGTTAGACCGCTTTGTCAAATATCGTACTGGTCTCGTCATCGTCCAGTAACAATCGACATTCTTTGTTCCGTTGGGACTGTAGCTTTTGCTCGTTTTCGTTGCGCTTGCCTTCCCCTCTTTGGTCTTTTTTTCCATAACCTTGAACCTTCCAAGTTGGAAGGCTGTCGGTTAGCGCTACGGAGATGTGTTGAAGCTAGGTGTCAGGACGTCGAATGTTTCAGTACTCTGTCAGTTTTGTGCCTAGTTATTGCACTTTCTGACTGTATATAGTATCATGTTACAGTGATGGAGAGTTACTCTTAACTCGTATCCATATGTCTTTTTCTCTTCCACATTTATTTATGGCTCAACATCCGAGTTTCAAATTGCACACCTGATGAGCCGTCACGAACCATACGGCGAAACGTACGTCGTGTGAAACAACTTGTTTTGTAGTCAACTAGTCCATCACAATGTCATGCATGAGGAGTACTGTAGGAGTTTGGCTTTCGGCTTGTACAATTCGTTTTCGCAAAGCTTCCCTTTCTTTACTTATCTTTGATATTTATGACCCACCCAAGTTGGGTGGTGTGCTGCTTTGCTGCTTCGAATTGTAGTTAGACCGCTTTGTCAAATATCGTACTGGTCTCGTCATCGTCCAGTAACAATCGACATTCTTTGTTCCGTTGGGACTGTAGCTTTTGCTCGTTTTCGTTGCGCTTGCCTTCCCCTCTTTGGTCTTTTTTTCCATAACCTTGAACCTTCCAAGTTGGAAGGCTGTCGGTTAGCGCTACGGAGATGTGTTGAAGCTAGGTGTCAGGACGTCGAATGTTTCAGTACTCTGTCAGTTTTGTGCCTAGTTATTGCACTTTCTGACTGTATATAGTATCATGTTACAGTGATGGAGAGTTACTCTTAACTCGTATCCATATGTCTTTTTCTCTTCCACATTTATTTATGGCTCAACATCCGAGTTTCAAATAATAATAATAATAATAATAATAATAATAATAATAATAATAATAATAATAATAATTTGAAACTCGGATGTTGAGCCATAAATAAATGTGGAAGAGAAAAGGACATATGGATACGAGTTAAGAGTAACTCTCCATCACTGTAACATGATACTATATACAGTCAGAAAGTGCAATAACTAGGCACAAAACTGACAGAGTACTGAAACATTCGACGTCCTGACACCTAGCTTCAACACATCTCCGTAGCGCTAACCGACAGCCTTCCAACTTGGAAGGTTCAAGGTTATGGAAAAGACCAAAGAGGGGAAGGCAAGTGCAACGAAAACGAGCAAAAGCTACAGTCCCAACGGAACAAAGAATGTCGATTGTTACTGGACGATGACGAGACCAGTACGATATCTGACAAAGCGGTCTAACTACAATTCGAAGCAGCAAAGCAGCACACCACCCAACTTGGGTGGGTCATAAATATCAAAGATAAGTAAAGAAAGGGAAGCTTTGCGAAAACGAATTGTACAAGCCGAAAGCCAAACTCCTACAGTACTCCTCATGCATGACATTGTGATGGACTAGTTGACTACAAAACAAGTTGTTTCACACGACGTACGTTTCGCCGTATGGTTCGTGACGGCTCATCAGGTGTGCAATTTGAAACTCGGATGTTGAGCCATAAATAAATGTGGAAGAGAAAAAGACATATGGATACGAGTTAAGAGTAACTCTCCATCACTGTAACATGATACTATATACAGTCAGAAAGTGCAATAACTAGGCACAAAACTGACAGAGTACTGAAACATTCGACGTCCTGACACCTAGCTTCAACACATCTCCGTAGCGCTAACCGACAGCCTTCCAACTTGGAAGGTTCAAGGTTATGGAAAAGACCAAAGAGGGGAAGGCAAGCGCAACGAAAACGAGCAAAAGCTACAGTCCCAACGGAACAAAGAATGTCGATTGTTACTGGACGATGACGAGACCAGTACGATATCTGACAAAGCGGTCTAACTACAATTCGAAGCAGCAAAGCAGCACACCACCCAACTTGGGTGGGTCATAAATATCAAAGATAAGTAAAGAAAGGGAAGCTTTGCGAAAACGAATTGTACAAGCCGAAAGCCAAATAATAATAATAATAATAATAATAATAATAATAATAATAATAATAATATTAACTGGTTGGAGGGAAAGAGACAAACGGGAAAAGTCTGAAGAAAAAATTGACTGTCACCACCAGGACACGAACCAGGGACCCTCGCTTGTAGCCAGCGATGCTCTAACCACTGAGCTATGGTGTAGTAATAATAATAATAATAATAATAATTGTAGAAGAGAAAAGGACATATGGATACGAGTTAAGAGTAACTCTCCATCACTGTAACATGATACTTTATACAGTCAGAAAGTTTTGTGCCTAGTTATTGCACTTTCTGACTGTATAAAGTATCATGTTACAGTGATGGAGAGTTACTCTTAACTCGTATCCATATGTCCTTTTCTCTTCTACATTTATTTATGGCTCAACATCCGAGTTTAATAATAATAATAATAATAATATGAACAGGTGGCATATTGCCCGCATAAACAAATCATACGGTGGTCATGCATCTGTCAATGATCATTAACCAGAGTTGCTTGTTGGTGGCGAGGTTGAGGCATTCCTGAATCGGCACATTCAGAGATGGTCAAATGAATGGTGGTATACAGGGTAAACGTATGTGTTTCTTAGCACAAAATCTGGGTGTGGCTTATACAATGGAAAATGCGGTACTTTTGCCGCCCTTCATCAGAGGTTGCCAGTAAGACTCACCGGCTGAATTCTTGAGTCGCGGCACTGCGAGTATGTGGGCCTGGGGTGCGGGATGTCGTCCGTGCTGCTGCGCTCAAACAGCTGCAGGCAGAAGCCGCGCAGCAGCTTCATGTCGTACGGCTGTCTCCAGGAGACGTTTGTGGCGAGGAAGAGGTGGTCGCTCCTCTGCGGACTGACCCTGGTGTCTAACAGCAGATCTCCGATGTTTATGTCCCGTGCCTGCTGGATCACATCTGTCACAGCACAATAAGAGCACGAAGGTACAGGATCAAGCCTAATCAATGTCACTCCAAACAAAAAAACACTTCACTTTGGAGCAGACAAGGAGTGTGTCAGTGTAGTCTTGCTTCGTCTACTAGTACAGCGAAACCTGTCTAAGACGACCGCTCAAGGGACCTTCAAAATAATGGTCTCTGTTACCAGGTGGTCTCCTTACCCAGGGTCATTTGACTGGAAATAGTATCCCTTTGTCCTGGATTCAGTGGTCTTTTATGCCAGGTGGTCGTCTTATCCGAGCGGTCGCCTTGACAGGTTTTACTACTAGCTAGACACTGTGGGATAGATACTTGTGCTGCGTTGCCATGGTCACCAATTGCCCTGCCCTCTAGTAGCCGGGTGCCTAACTGGTAGGCGGAACCTGGATCTGGTATGAGGGGTTGGGGCACTCCCAAAGACTCCTGAAATATGTAGTGGCATGGTGCATTGCACCAACCTGCATGTATGACGAATGTTTGAGGGGTGCTTGAACCCTAAATATGCCCCCCCCCCCCCCCTTTGCTCCTCCCCGTAAGCTGCTGCAGAGGGGAATCTCAGAGATGAGCAACAGTGTCTTTGTGGACTGCTGGAATTGCAGCCAAGATAGCATACTAGCAATCTTGCACCATGCATATTAGCAATGTATCGTATCCTGCTCCATGGCATCTCACAACGTCCTGAGGCACCATTGACCAAGACAGACAACCATACAAGCGTACGAGGCAATAGTCATTAGAACGATTTTGCACTTTTTACGAGTTAAAAAAATCTGTACCTCTGCTGGGTGTTCGGAATTCAACGGTTGAGTTTCTCCCTGATGGCAAGTCAATAACCTGCAAATGCAGAGAAAAAGAGCAGGAGAACACTGCTACAGGCAGAACCAGTAGAGAGCGCAGCAGCTGCAAGACCATTCACAGAAAACGTACCTTGAGGCTGGGGGTAAATAGAAATCGGACCGCAATATGCGGGCATTGACAATGCTGGACCAGCTCCTGGTTTTGGCCATAATGCCCTATGTCACGGTCATGTTCTCGTGTGCCTGGCCCCAATGATAATACCCGGTGCGTGCATGTGATGTGGGTAAGTTATTACTCAATCGCCACTACCACCACTTGTTTACAACCGGCTATGAGCCAATATTGACACAAGAGAGTTAAAACTGATGCATTTGACAGGGTGCAAAGGGGTGCCTTTGAAGGCCTCAGGCACACATGGGCATATTTGGGTCCTAAAAGTGCAGTTTTAATGTCCGATTTTACACATCCAAATATCCGTACTGTGTCACGTTACAAGCGAAAAAAGTGAACACCATTACACCTGTAAGCCATCATGAGCTGATTCATGAACAATCGACCGGCCACACTGGGAGTGAGAGCGTTGGACTATACACTGTACAGACATGCACATAACATCATGAGCCGAGGCAAATACGAGTGTTTCGCGCGGGCGCGCGCGCGACGTGATGGCTTACTGTGATGGTAAAGTTGCACTGCTCCACGAGGTTCTTGACCAGTAGCCAGGCATTGTCCTACAGCAAGACAGAGGATGATGACAGCAACACCACAGCTCAGATACACACCATGAACCCTCGACGTCCGACCAATTTACTCACAAATAGCCCAATTGCATGGGGTTGTAAGTTTATGCTGTTGACTACTTGACTGGTTATTTCATGGAGAAGGCGGAGAGCCAGGACGTGCCAGAATATCGGAAATCTATACCGGAAACAAATTGCATGGGTTGTGGAATCCTGGCAAAGACCTTGTCCAAAGACACAACAGAAGTCACTGTGACCAGACAAGGCATATCTTACTCTTAGTGCTATTCAAAAAGACTACGTAAAGCATTTGTAGGTTATAATGGGAGTTGTGCCGACAGAAGAACTACAAGGAAAACAGTGGTGTTAAGACTTCACAAGAACGTTGATAATGAACAAAATTTTAAAATGTGTTTTTGTTTTGTTTTGTGCAGGCACAAACCCAGCACCATACTTGGCATGATCACACACACTGTACAAGCACTGATTACCTCCACGAGAAGAAGTTCTTGATCATTGCCACAACGTTCATGGTCAATCCTCGGTGTGGTGAGGAGTACTCGCTGACATCGGGATTTTGCCAATACTGTACAGAATAATGTGCGCATACGCGTACAAACGTATGAACACACGCAGGCATGCATGCATGCATGAACAACACACACACGCTCACACTTACACGAGTGCACACATCCACGCCACCCTCAGCCATCCCCCACGCATACAAACACATACACATGCAGATGCAGATGCACACACAATGCACACACATGAACATACATGAATACACATTCACACTCCCCGTCAGCCTCTTTGAATTTGAATGCCAAAGTAAAGTAGCCCTGCGGGTGCAGGAGGTGTCTTTGCACACAGTGGGAATCAACACCCTCAATCTCCTTTTCGGAAGGCCACTGCTCAAATGATCTAACTTTGAAGCACACAGTCAAAAGCAACAGGGTAAACTTTCTGCTCTTTCATCTCTCCTTACTGACACATTATAATATCACGACATACATACTATGCCCCCCCCCCCCACCCTTTGGTATCTTATTACTGGGCTATGATCCCGTTTGTTTTTGCAAAATAAAATAAAAACAATAAACTGAAAATATGTAAACAAGCGTTTCGGAGACAGCAACTTTAATATGGCAATCAAGAGTGCTAACTGTGCGGAAACCATGCTTTATTACAAAAGTAACGAACATGCGAGATGTAATAAAACATGGTTACCGCACTGTTAGTAGTACATACTCTTGATTGACATAATAAACTGAAAACTCAATTTTGTATTCCAGCTCCAGTATAACTCCCCTTACAGTTCCAGGTGATGTTGTATGTCCAGTGCAAATGCTGCCAGCTCCACTCTTGTGTGTCCACTCTCAGGCGCAGGTCTGCTGCTGCTGCTGCTGCTGTCAGCAGCCCAGTGCTCTCTCCACCCGCACTGCACAGTCGTTGCCAGCATGGGTCTGTCTGCTGTGCTGAGTTCACTGCAGAATACCAGGAGCAGAGAGAGGAGGAAGAATACATCACAATGTTAGCCGGACAAGTAGATGCGGAGGAAATCCTGGGTATAGGGTCGAAAAAGTATGTTACATATGGCCAGAGCATGCATATGCTATTATGCATACACACACATACAATTTCCGCACATATGCACATATACACATGCATAACACCCACACGTACACACCATGTACCAGGGTATACGCCCGTCGCAAGAGAAGCACGCAAATCTGCAAATGCACTGGATGTGCACCCACAGATGTTCTCTATATAATAGCAACGATAGCGGACAAGGTCTGAAAGAGACAGATTTAAGACTAGTGCCAGATAGCTGTCCAATCCACTCAACCTGCGAAGCCATGTGAATCGACCACCAATGCACACCTGGTCTACAGCACACGTAGGATGTCGGCATAAAACGGCCAAGGCAGTTCTGCATGCACACCCCACACTTGCTGCGGTAACCACTATACTGCATGCTGCTTTGATAGAAGCAGACACTAGATGCACTGGTGTCTTGAAGTGAAATTGGAGTTACTTTACCAACCAGCCTCGGCTACTGAGTACGGAGAACGCAAAGCCAACAGACATACCAACAACCTCAGCCATGAAAGCAATAATTATAGTAACGACACACTGGATTGTGGAGCCGAAACTAGTCCAAGTTGCAAATGCTTCGGCAAGAATGTAGCCTTCCGGCAGGTACACACACATACACACACACACACACACACACACACACACACACACACACACACACACACACGCACGCACGCACGCACGCACGCGCATGCACGCACGCATGCACGCACGCACACACACTCAGACCCACGCATGCACGCACATGATTGGATCCAACAATGAACAATGAACAACATTATGCTATTTACCTTCCAGTCCAAACTGCGCGGGATGAAAGACGATTTCGTTCCTCAAGAATCCCTGCGAGCCAAAGCGGTTGACCGATGCCACATCAAACCTATAGCAGACCCTCTCTCCTCGAACAGGTCTACGTTGGCGAAACAGACGCTTCGTAGGAAGAGCAGAATCGGTGGTCTGCAATGGAAAGAGTAAAGAAAGGCAAAGGAATCATGGTAAGATTAGGTTCTGCTACAGCAACGACAGTCATCTACCCTTCTTGAACAGCATTCACCTTATCAATACTGTCTATGGGTCATACATTTTTTTTGCTGTGTCTTTCGCTTTTGTTGAAGCATTCTGGTTTTGATGAATTGAGCCGAAATTTTTTTCTTGTTCAGTATACTTCATGTCAACAAGTTCGGCCACCATTTGACCCAGCTTATGAATATGAAGCCCAAACGACGGACTATCCGGAACTTGAGGGGTTGTAGGAACATGCAGGTTATCACCGGACCAACTTGTTGGTCACAAACACATGTTTAGTACTGTGGAGGGTATGAGTACATGTACAGTCAACTTGGCTAATAACGACTGCGGATATAACGACAATTTGCGAATAACGACAGAATTTCCATGCCCAGAGCAAAGTCCCGTCTGACTGTAATGCGTATAATGAGACTTCGGGTATAAGGACACTTCGCAAATAAGGACACTTTTCTGATGCCCCGCCGAGTGTCGTTATACGCAAAGTTGACTGTGTCATACACAAAGTAAGAAGGGATACCAGTATGCTATTGCCGGATCAATCAAAACCTGCATCCGCCGATCCTGGTATACAGTGCGTTTTCCAACCACTTGGCCTTACCATAATCTTTCCCTCCAGCGTTTCGTCAATGCGCCCGGTGACCTCGTTGTACTTCATGCGTATTCGCCGTGCCAGGTAGATGACTGCCTCAGCCGTACGCATGGCCACCGGATCCGTGTCATCCACGTTGCCCAGGCCCACCCAGAACATCCACTGGGAATTGAGCGACTGGTTCAGCCATAGCACCGGGCCGTCGTTGGGATGTGGAGGAAGTGCTGCACGACAGGAGATAGTACAGAAGAGAGTAGAGCATAAGCGGTTTGGTGGATGTGGCTTGCATTTAGGGAGTATGACAAAGTACGTTCCAGTTGATTGCTGGCAATTGGTCTTATACGAGTTCTGGCGTGCAACTGAACGCATTCTCGCATGCTAAATAACCGTAGTGCAGCATGCACGGGATCGAGTGCATTTGTGTGTGTGTGTGTGTGTGTGTGTGTGTGTGTGTGTGTGTGTGTGTGTGTGTGTGTGTGTGCACGTGCATGTTCGGGTCCATGCACGAAGGTGAAGATGCTGGCCTGCACGTTTGCGTGATTCCCGGTATACACTATGCGCTGAGGCCAGGCAGTTCAAGATGTACACATTCCTACGGCCAGATCACCCCCCACCCCCCCACCCCACCCCTCCTCTCAACCGCATCTAGAACCAAAACCCTCCGGCTGCACACTGTGACCACTTACCATCGTATCGCCTGGGTAAAGATGACGCACCATACACCACTTCACACATCTCTGCACATTGCTCTGAGGAGGTCTGGACAGAAGAAGAAGCAAAATGAATGATCCCAGACAGAATGTAGCAAAGGGCAGAGGTCACCTTGCTGTGAGGAGGGTATTGTCACATGTGGGATGACATCACCATATCTGTTTCGACAGGTAAAGTTGCACTCAGAGTGCCTGTACATGTACATGTATTATGCATGCCGGCCCCCCCCCCCCCTCCCAACACTTATAATTATACACACGTTATACATTCTCACTAATGTAAAAAAACACACACACACATGTACGCATACACACACACAGACACACACACACATGCACACACACACGCACACACACACACACACACACACACACACACACACACACACACACACACACACACACCAGACTTACTGCATTACACTGATGCAGACACGAGAGCAGGTCACTTTCTCGCCGACAGGATATGTTGCGACACTGTAGCACAGGCCAAGATCAACAACTCAATCTTTCAATTTTTCCCATCTCCATGATCTCTTGCATACAGGTATGGTAGCGATACCGAGACTATTGCTAGTCGACTTAGTAAAACCAGTTGACCAACTTCCTGTTCGATTTAAGGGCAAGCGAGTGGCGTAGGGAGTGGCTATGTAAGGGGTACCTTACTCATTGCATCGGGTTGACTTGTGCTCATGCATTTTATCTATAGAGATTAGGATACTCAGCTAGGCTATCATCTGAGATACTTTGAGTGGAATTTTTTAATTTTTTGTTAACTAGCAAACACAACCCTACTGACATTCAGCGAAAGAGGACAAGAGAACTGACAACTGACAGCAGGACAATATGGGGGAGGGGGAGGAGGAGAAATAGAGGCAATGTGCCGATGTGGTTGGCGAAGCTAATCCTACCAGAGGTCTTGGAACCATAGTCTACACAAAACCAGGCATCAGTGCACACCAATCACTGGTTTGCTCCGCCATACAAAGCACACACAGACAAGCCTTTCTCGCAACCTCAAAGGTGGACCGATATTCAATATCGTAGCGGGAAGGAAATGTTCGTCCTACCTGGGAGAAGTAAAGCGGGCGGGAGGTCTTGGGGCGAACGGAAACGCAGACCCATACATGAAAGAAGCATAACTACTGATCTAGCAAGTCTGTTATAGTATGCTACGCTCGTGTGTTGTTGTTGAACATGGTGCTGTGAAATTTTAGAAAAGCATACCTCCAAGGGCCATAAATATCTGTTCTTTATAGCCAACATACTAGATTGACATTTTAAAGGCCCAATGACTGACATAGCATAATGAAATGCCTTCAAAAGAGTACTTTGAAAAGTTAACAAAATCAATTATCCAAACCATCAAATCCGTGACAATTGTGTCCGTTAATATGTTATCCAAGGAACTTTACACTGAAAAGCTGTGCTGCAAAGGATTTGTAAACTACTGCACGGAATTGGAGGAATGCGAGTACAGTGTAGTGTATTTTCCAGCCTTTCACTTACCTCTCGACATGCTTTATCGCACACGAACGGCTGCCACTTTTTCGTCTGTATGGACTCCTGTGCGCGCACACAGACACAGACACACACACACGTACGCACGCACGCGTAAGCACGCACACACACACACACACACACACACACACAGGTATGCAGACACGCACAGTCGCACACAAATGCATGCACATGGCCATGGGCGGGCACAATCATTATAAAAACTAGTCGCTTCAATAACCGTTATTACTCACTGAGACTGCGTAATAGGGAAGGAAAGGATGTTTGTATGATTACACGAAAGTACTGGTATTATAGAATCAATAGCGTCAAGTAGTTTGTTCCCACCGTTTTGACACCTGGGCTGCGGAACTCACGTCTTTCGAAAGTTGAAGCACGAACTCGACGTCGCCCGTTGCGATACGTCCATGGCCATAGGTCGCTAAGACTCGAAGTAACAACACGTTAGTTGTCGGCACAGTCCACTAAGCCTAAGGTGGAGACAGTTCGGTGTTCCTGTGTTCGCAGCACCAGCCAGCTATTGCACCAAGTAATAGTTCGACAGATTACCCAAACTTTAGCTAAACCAGTAACCGTGGCAGATCTACTACGTGAATAATTTTTTTCTCACCATCTTCGTATCCTTTTTACAAAACTATCTTTCCCATTGCCGGCCGAAGACCATGCTTCGATTCATGACGCGTTGATCGACGGCCTTGTGCTCATAAAAAGGCATGCTGGCTCCTTTGAACCATTTTGGCTGTCACAGGACGGGGGTAGGTACTAGGTAGGCACCTCATCGTCATCACGTGATAGCTGTTAATGCTAGAGTCTCTCTAGGCCACGCCGCGGCGACTGTGGACACACCACAGCGCTAAATAGGGAAAGATGCGCTAGCGGTGTCGGATATTTCATTCCGCCGGTTGTTGACTGGTAGATCTACTGTCGAAGGCTTTGCCGCAGATTGGGATAATGCGGTGGTTTAGCAAGACAAAATTCGCGTTCGTGTTCGCACTCCAAGGAAATCCGTGATGCTAAACCTTCGTAATGTAATGGTCCATGGTTTGGAACTGTGAGTGTTCATCCTCCCTCCCCCCCCCCCCCCCCCCCCCACCCTGAGGAGACACAATGCGTTAGTTTTATTAATAGGGAGGTTTAGTTCCCACGTAACGGAAACGCGTACGTGGGTGATCCACGTAAAGTGGATGAAGGGCACCCACGTTGCAATGTTGTGTTTAGTCACACGGAACAAACAAAATCATGAAGCGAAAGGCCCAAACCTGGTCAAAGACGAAGCTACCCGGGCCTAAGAAGCTCATCCAGTATTTTGATTTCGTACTTCGGAAACTTCTTCAGCTGAGCACCCTCACAGCTTGCACAATGCACTCAATTCTGATTTTCACCCACGTTCTAGCGGAACGTGGGTGAGCCTCCATACACGGTATGTCGTGATTCAGAAAACGTCTGTACGTGGGTCACTGAGTATCACGTGGTACACACACGGAAAGTACCCACGGATTACGTGGGACTAAACCTCCCTAATGATGACATGTCAGGAACGCGGAAAACATGTTCATCTGGAGCGTTTCGGCTATGAAAATCGAGCCTCCAGTAGCGAGCGGATGTGCTCACTGCACTCGACCCAGTTCCACCATTGCTCGTTTCCGAGAGGCAATATTTACAACGTGCCAGCTAACCGAACTCTGAAGCCGGTGAGTGTGTTTTTGTACGTTCTCCGTGTGAGAGAGTCCCAACAAAGAAAGGTAATACACGCAGAAACACGCGGGATAACACATTAGCACGAGTCGAGAAATGATAATGGAGGAGACAATGGCTGAGTTTAGATGACTTCATCGAGTTTCGAAACGCACCCGCCGCCATGAGCAGAGACAAGACGAGCTTCTCCCAAGCTCGTTCCTTCGCTCCGCCATGCGTCAGAGCCTCTAACCGCCAATCTTTGAAGCGCATCAGCATACATGTATGCACAGCGTATCACTAACATTCTCTCGCACGCTGCGGGTCACCAACACGAAGAGCCAACATTCCTGGCAGAAGACAAACCCTGCGAGGAGAGAAGCAGCGCACGCGGCACAGCTGAAATCCTAACTCTGACGCTCCCCACGACCAATCGGAACCGAACGAGCACCAACAGAATGCGCGCATATTGCCTCGAGGCGAGAATCTCACAGCTTACAAGCAAACTTTACTCAACAGGCCCGGCTGATTATTACTATCAGCGGTTTTAGTGAGAAGGTGGCGGGATAATTGTGTCATCAACACGTTGCAACTCTTTCGTAGACAACCTCGGTGAGACAGGAAAACAGGGCTAGTCAACGATCACACGGTCACCTTCAAAAGCAATTCTCCCGCAAAATGCAAACCAACACCCGCGCGGAAATATTGGTGAGGACCCAAAACGGGCACCGCATCATGTTGCTGGCGATCGTCACACGCAGTCTAGGACAAATTGCTGCGGTGCAAACTGGAACCAGGCGATCTGGTCGTGTACGCGCGACACACCTCGTGTATATGCAGTAGATATTTTCGTGTATCACGCTGTGGGTTGCGAGAATATCTCGGCTACATCATGAGGGCAGCTGCCGGTTGTGAATAGCGTGAGGTGTCTCTGGGTGTAAGACCAAGACTCCAATCCTCACCACAGCTACCACTGCATGACTATGTCAGCACATTTCCGGGCTCAGAGCATGCAGCAACTAACTTGATTCACCTCTACTACTGGATAATTTGTATGGTGATTGTCCCAGTGGCTTTTTAACGTTACAGCAACGTAACATGAAGAGAAAAAAATAGAGTAGAATCCATCAGTCAGTACACTGGTGAAAAGCGAGACTTTGCAACATGCGAGCTGCTGGCATTCACCCATTACTCAACAACTAGTTGTTTCTTGCGAGAGGGCATCCAAACATCTGATCGGCGCGACTGCATGCTGTGAGCCCATGCGGACCGCTTCAAATCACGACTCGTTCACCAATGCCCAGATTGAGGCAAGTCGTATGGGGAAAAAGGACGCGTGAAGCAAAATGAGAGTGAAAACTGGCGTCTGCTTGTTCACAAACTTGTCCCGTCGAACATATGAGATCAACAGAAGCAAGGAACATGGCAAGATGAGGACAACCTGGTTGTTTGTGAAACCGCGGGACAATGCACTGAACAACAGGAAAGCGCAGGGCGTTGCGAGTAAATTCCTCAATGCACTCGATTGTAGTGCGACGCCAAAAGCAATTGCACAGATCCCGAAGAACAATGGGTCGAGAATTCACAGCACACAATTACAAATCTACAATACAATAATTCACGCATGCGCTTGTTGACACGGTACAAGCACATGTACTACAATAGACTCAAGAAGTCTTAGCAATGTTCCCATGTGTAGACATGCATGTGTTCGTCTCCGTGATTACTAGTATGCGTGTATGTGGCCGTTCATGGCGGTCCAAATGGAGGAGCTCTTTAAGATCACCTTGAAGAGAATGTACGGGTAGCCACACACATGTAGTTGTAATTCATTACTGCGACGGTCCATATTCAGGCAATACAGTCACTGAGTCAGCGTGATGGCAAGTGCAGAGCTCAGTCGTTTCTACAGACGATAGAATGATGTCTAACCAACACCATTCTACAACATCGCTCCCAACGAGTACAAGTGCCAAGTGGGGATTCGTAATGTAATGACTCCCTGAAGGCCCTCTCTTTTTGCTCCTGTTTGACCACGGCCGACAATATGCAAACGGCACTAACACCATCCGCTCATGCTGCTGCTTGTGGATGTGAACGCTAGAACGACACCGATACGGGGTTTGATCGCGGGCCATGAGTAGGAGCATTCGTCCGTAGGTGTCTCCGCATCAGCGTAAGCGCCAGCAACACGACATTCTTGGATTTGACATTCCATCTCAGGCACGCGCCTATAAGCCAACACGACACTCGTCCCTGATGTCCATGGAGCTCAGTAGAGAGACAACGGAGAGGTCGAAAGACAAACAACGTCGACCAGGCAGGCGAGCTGAACTTCCGGTGGATTACTGGGAGAATCGTTGGCCGCAGCCGCCTCTCACTTCCTGCTCAAGATCGTGGAATTGTAACAGTAGTTCAAAGAACACAGTGTGGATAACTACATGGTTATGCGGCTGGGAACACGGGGAAAGCTGATTTCGTGGAGGTCAGTCCTTCACTGGGCCTATTCAGCGTGAAAACTCCCATACGGAAGTCAAGAAGCAGCAGTGCGTCCCCGTGGCGTGCCTCACTGGCCCAGAAACACGTAATGCATTCTGAGGCTCGCCGAACTGCACTCAGTCGGAAACGATTATCCAACCACGCCAATTGGCAATTGTATGCAATTGGCTGGTAACAATGTAGCACTGAGACTGAGTATCAGGGAAAACCGTGCAGCGGGCTATCTGGATAGCGCCTTCGCGATCTCGCTGCTATTGTCGGAGCAGAAAGTGTAATGTCGTGAGCTCGTATTGCTCCGCCCGTGTCGACGATACCTTTGTTTTCCTTTTCTACGTCAGCAATCCTGGGTAAGGACGGGTCATGGGTTTAGAGTTTCTAAACGATTTTCCCATCCACGCGTGACAGTCACTGCCCACAATACTCCATGACCAGATGTCAAGAGTAGAGACAATGCCGGGGCAGAGCCTCGAAATATTAATTTTGTCCCCACCTAATTTCAGCCGTCAGTTAGGTCATCAGATTACGTAATTCGCTGAGGTGTTTTCTTAGTGTGACATCGCGATCACGCGCGTTCACACTCACATGCGTACATACACACACATACACACACACACACACACACACACACACACACACACACACACACACACACACACACACACACAGAAGCACACACAAACACCTACATGTACACACCCACGCAAACACGCGCTCTGCATACTTTGCAATTTGCCTCCCTAGGCTATTGTACAAAGCACAAACTATGGAAGATTCAGCGGCTATGTGTAGTCTGTAGGGCAGCACCTACATCTACTCGTACATCAAGTCGTTTGGTAACTGCGAAGTCCGCCGCGACGTTGGTGACAGGAGGT